GCCTGTCAGCGCCGCTGCCGCTGCCGCTGCCCCCGCTCCCAGGGCCCCCCTCGCTTCCGGGCCAGCTGCCTCGGAACCACTTCCGGGAGGTCACGGCCGCCTTCTGCGCGGAACGTGCCCTCAGATGCTGACGGCGCCTCGCTCCCAGCATGCCACGCGGAAGGGTGCGGGGCGCGCTGGGAGATGTAGTCCGTGCTCCGTCCCACACACGTGGGTGGGGCGGGGGATTCTAGGGGCCGCTCCACCATGTTAGAGCAGGGGGATTCGCGGGGCAGTGCTGTGCGGTGTCACGGCTGCACCTAGTGCTGGTCTGAAACTAACCCATCAGGCTTTCCAGAGCAGGGGCTTGGTTTAAGTGTTATGAAATGCTAAAAGTCTGCTCCTTTTGGGGCTCATGGTACTCGCCTGACTCTGGAGGCTTGTCTCTTGTCACAGTTATTTCAACAATTGCAAGGGCTGCAAAGTTACAGTAACGTGCTGAAGGACAGCCAACATGGTTTAATGTCTGACCAATCTCATCTTCCTTGGAGACAGTCCCCAACCCTGGAAGTCTGCAAGAGACTCACCAGACACCTTGCTGGGGTTGGACTCCATGATCTTTCAAGGTCCCTTCCAGCCCTTGATTTCTATGATGTCTATGATGATATGGCACTTCTCACTCAAAGCTGTCTTGAGACAATTGCAACTAGAGACTAGAGAGAGGAGACTAAAGAGGTGAGGCCTGTTCAATTGGGAGAGGTGGGGGGGGGGGGGCATGGATAAGGGCTTACAAAACTCAGAACTGGAGGTGAGAGCTCTTGCATTGCCAAGAGCCAAAATCACCTTTTTCCATACATGTGGGACAGTTTATAACACAAAGTATCATGTGTTTACTGAGAATAGGCTGGGGTTCAGAAATTTAAAAAAATACGAGACCAAAACAATCATACTGTATCACAAGAAAACAGTATTCTTAAATTAAAAAATGATGTGGGGGTCAATGTAACTATTCTGGGGGCTAACCCATTATTTTTGGCAATATAGAAATGGAGTTCCAAGTCTCTTGGACATCCAGAAAATTAGTGCTCGCACCTGTAAGACTGATTTTGGTAGCTTGCCTAGTGTCGTGCAGGAGCTTTATGGCAATGATCAGTTCTCCAAGGTAGGGTTAACTATTAGATGCTCCTTTCTCTTCTTGCAGTTACTGGAGCTGTGACAGGTTGACAGCGCAGTTTACAGTGTCTCCTGGCACTTGCTCCTTTTGTGACGAGAGGGGGACCCTGGCATACTCATCTATCTGGAGTCAGCTGAGCTGAAGTTCCTACTTTGGCTTCTCAAGAACCTCTTGGTAAGGTTCTGGTTGCCTGTTTCTGTGCACCTCCTGATTTACTCCCTCCTCATCTGTGGCCCCATAGAGCTTTGAGACATACTTCCTCCTGGCATTGGCCATAAGGGCCATCGGACCAAACAAGGAACCTTGACAGGGGATGCTGTGAGTAACTTTTTCTCTTCTGTAGTCTCACATATTTGGGCTGAGCCCCCCTAAGCAGGTCTGCTAGTTCTTTGAAATGTGATAACTGTGGGTGACATTGGTGGCTTTTCTGTTTTCCCTCCCCTAATTTGAAACCTATGGCCTCACTTCCATATCCATTTTTTCATCATCTTTCCCCATATTTAATTGGGCTCTAGTTTCACGTCCCTGCTTCAGCTAGGAGTCATAGATTATAGTCTCCTTTTGAATGCAGCCCTGATTCATTCCTAAAGCTGCTCCAAACTATACAGTGAACAGAAGTTTAGGGCTGGAAGAGACCTCATATCGTTGGGTCTAGCCCCCCTGCTCTGGGCAGGAAAGACTGCTGGGATCAAACACATCTATGCTTTAGATAGGGATGATCCTGCCTTAGGCAGGGGTTTGGACTAATGACCTCTGGAGGACCCTTCCAGCCACGGGTGGAATTATGGGGGAGTTTTTTGGGGGGGGAGTTGAGCCCCCCCATAAAAGACGAGAGCCCGGCCATAAGAGACAAGAACCCCCCTGTGGGCCAGTCAGGCTGCACCTTTCTAAGCAGCCCAGGTGACGGCCATGGCTCCTGGCTGCCATCACTGCAGACCCCGCCCCACCCCCCAAGAGTTGACGGGTAATTCGAACCCAGCTTCAAGCCCTACATCTCTTCTCTGTGATTCTATGAATGAATGAATGAATGGACGATGAATGAATGAATGAACATGCACAAAAGGGAACAAATCTACATGGGCCTTAATTCTCACGTGCGTGCCTGAAATTCTGCACCTTCCATTTTGCAACCTCAACAATATTTTTATAGTGGAGCTTTTTCATGTGCCTAACATAGGCCTGTTTCCTGACCTGCAAAATGGGATCATTGCTAATTCTTTGGCGTCTACCTATGGAGGATATCACTTCTTCAGCAAGCCCTTGTAGTAGAGGATGATTGTCTTCCCTGAACGTCTTATCTGTGGGTCGGAGGATGGCCGATAAGGCCGATCCGGGGCGGATGCGCTCTGTAGCAGCTCAGGCACTTGTTTCCCTGCAAGTCTGTAACGACTTGGCCTTATTGCATGGAGTACTGTAGAGTTAGGCTGGCTTTTCCTCCCCCAGCCTTGACTGGCCTCCAGTCATGTTACTATTTAGGCCCCAGCTCCTTCAAAGACTAACTTGCGCTGTCCCCTCAGCGCAGTGCGGCGGCAGCGCTCAGAGGTGCTGCTTCGGCAGCAACGAAAGCACGTGGCGCTCACACAAGATGCTATGGCTTTTTTTTTCATCCCGGCCAAGCGGCGCGGGCCCCGCGGTGCTACAGGGGCAAGGGGCGGTGCGAGACCATGCAGTGGGGCGGGCGAGCCCGGAGGGGAGCACCGCGCCCCGCTGTGGGCCCGGGCCCCGCCCGCCGGCGCCCGCA